GAATGGTCTGGTCTTAAGTTGCTGATAAATGTTTTTCAGTTTATGAGGTATTTTTCCTATTTTTAGCCAGAAATGATTACTACATACAACTGCAATTGGCAAAATAAAGTATCAAAATAGATATGCTAACAAAAGTATCAAATTGAAATTAACTTGTTATATAAAGTGGAAATTTCTGATCAAGTATTAAAAAATTAAATTCTGAGATTAAAAGAACTATTTTTAATGTATTTTCAATAAAATGTGTCAAAAGTTTGGAAATTTGATGATATAAAAAAAATTATAGAAAAACTAAATCAAATTAAATGACAAAAATAGATAGTTTACTGGCTTTGTAGTAAGTTTTGTGCAATTTGGTTATGTGTTTCCAATTTGCGAGAAGGAAAAATCAAGGGATATTATTAAAATCTTCTCCCATCTTTCTGGTCCACAAGGGGTTCGACAAAATATGGTCAATAAATGCTTTGGTCAGTAAATTTTGATTTGTTGGGCATGGAATTAAAAGATGGCTAATATATGCTTATCTCATGTTTATATGTTTTCATTATTCTTGACAGTTGTATATTGACTTGGTTAATTGAACAAATTTTTTATCAGTAATTTAATGTGATTGATAATATTTGATATATTCCAATTGATCTTTCTTTCAAACCTGGTAAAAATAGTGTAAAATGTGTATAATTCAGGAAATGCATTTATATAATTTGAACAACTCGTGTCATTGCAAATTGAAACACAACTAAATCACAAGATATACCATGAAAGAACATCAACTTGTGTAGTTAATAATTATCAAGAAATTGAAGAACCTTCTATGGCTAATTATTACTTACAGTGTAATGTTTGCCTGTTCCTAAATACAGAAAGTACCACTTGTTATAACCTTGTAGTTTAGTTATAAACTGACTGTGATTATGGTTGTGGCAAGACATGTTGCAAGATTTTGCAGTCAGTTTTAAAATTAAAAAAATATTTGAAATCATGCAATAATCAGTTAAGAGCAGCATACAGGGTACCAAAACATACTTAAAATTCTAGTACACAAGAAGTGTCTTTTCAGGAATTCTTTTATAGATGATTTAGGCAAAGTCTTCATAATGATCAAAGTTCAAACAGGTAACAACTGCTTAATACAGTGTGACATCTGTAGACCTGTAAATGAAAGGTGAAAGTATTTCAAGACATTGTACTTTTCCACCTGGATATTAGGTTAGTCTTCTAAGACTTTTCACAAGCTCGTGATGTACTAGGCAGTTACTGCACATTTCACCCTTGCTTATTTAGCATTTTAAGGCTGTTTTTATGTTAAAGGAATATGTTGCTCCATGTAATACAGATACACTCTTTAAAAAAGGTGTGTGTCTATATATAGTTTAGTGTTAAAATTTGTACTGCTACTTTTTGAAATTTTATTGTACTAAAGTAGTTCTATTCACAGACAGCAATCCTTATGGTTAAAAATTATTATTTTACTTGAAAAGTATATTTCAGAAACAATACACATTATCAGGGTGCATTTTTTGTACTTCAGGTGCAGTTCTTATGCACCTCCTAGCTTACACGATAAATAGTGGTTCTGACATTCATTGCATTTAGATTTTGAAGTGGTCTTTGCAGAAATATTCAGCAACAACAAGGAATTTTCAGAAAGTAAATGTATCAAATGTCATAGGTCTACTTTATATGAATGTGTAATACTAAGGTACTGAATAAGATTGTGCCATGAAAAGTGTGTTTAGTTTCAGTATCAAAATTATTGGTAACAAACAAACAAAGAAGATGAATGTGCATACTTAGAATTACACACTTAAATTCTGTTTGTGGAACAGCTGGTGGTTTAAAAGAGATGATATGGAATTTCTTCTTGATTGACCCTTGTAATATTTTGAATGATTATCTTAAGTGGAAACCCTAAGTGCTAAAAATTAAAAACTACTACACAAAACACAGACTTCACTTTTCCAGATTTCTTTTGATGAATAGAAGTTATTTTGTCTGTGTAATAGGTTTTCAATAAAATAAATGCTCTTGGAAGATTGTTTGACTCTCAAAAAATGTGATACTACTACTAAAAAATTCAAAAGTATTTTGAATTCTACCTGGAAAGAAAAGACCATTTCTTTTATTGATCTAAATCCAGAAACTTACTATACATTTTTTACATGAAGCTTACCTAAGAATGGAGCTTTTTTTTGTTACTTGTATGTTTAGGTAGTAAAGTATTGGGCAGAGAAAGGCAAATCTGGATTCTTGGTGTGGCGATACCTCCTACGGCGTGATGACCCTGCTCCTGCACCATGGACAAAAGCAGGAAAGCTGCGTATTAAAGAACTTGGACTTAAGATGCAGGTAGGAAAAAAGGTTTTTAATAATTTTCAAATCAAGTGTTTATTAGTGTTTTCCAAAATGTAGCAATTCCTGCATAATTGATTATTACTATTAAATGAGAAGTTAAGTGATCTAGATTCATTAGTCTAGTTTGTAACAGTCCAAGCTTGATATTTATATTGCATGGCTAGTTTTACTTGAAAAATTTTGATTAAACTATGCATTTACGGAAACTGATCACAATAAAATCTTGCGCTTTATATTTATTATGTTGCAAGTTTAATAGCTCATGAAGACTTTTCTTTACAGTTTTTTTTCTTGAGAAGGAATACAGAAAACTTTTCAATATTATTTTAATAATAATAACTGTATTAAAATATTATTGAGTGTTGCTTTTTCTGTTTACTTTGTAGTAATTTTTAAGTTTTCTCATGCAAGTTTAAGATAATATAAAACACCTCCTTAAAAAGCATAAGTACTTTTTTTACATAGGTTTTTTTTCTTATTAATAAAAATCAAGATTTGTGATTATAAACTTTTATATATTGATTGAAACCATGATACTTCAGTAATTACTGTCAGATGTCATATTGCAAGCTATTTAGTGTATCTTCAGAAGTTGAAAATAACATATATTTACAAATACAGGCAAGATCGTCAGAGTATCTGATAGATGACATTGATAAAATATGTTGTAACAACTTATGTTGTTGAGTCTTTTGCAAAGAAAGAATACAAAAACCAGTTTACTTAATGATAATGAAAGTATCTACAACTTGTAAAGTTTCATGTAATTAACAGTAGGCCTAACTTCACAAATAATGTTAAACAGTTACTTGGTATATTCTGTCGTATGTAAAGTTCTTCTTGTACCTCTATTATTCCATTAAAAACACAGACTCAAAACTTACAATGCTGAAATACCTATCTGGTTGTCTCAATAATCAATCAACTGTCTCATCTAATCTCTCCTAACATGTGTTTTTGTATATTGTTGAAAGTTATATTTTCAGTATCATGATTTAATTGTTTTAGAGGAAGCTGTTAACCATAATGGTGTAATAATTGAGAACCTTTCTAACATCTAGAGGCAAAGGTATGCTATTCATAAATATGAGTAATCAGCTAGTGAAGTATTCAGTGTATGAATGATTGAGAGAAGATTGATCAAATAAAGTTATTCAGTAAGACTTAGTACTTTTGTAAGCTAATCATTAAGTTAGCATTTATTATTAGTGAATTAGGCCTACAGTAGTTTCTGTTGAAAAGTTTTCTCTTTGAAGTTAGGTCTGCAGGTGAAAGTGGATGTAGCAGATGTTAAAGAAGAAATATATTAATTTTTTATTGTTACGTAGACTGGATCTCACAATATATTTACCAAATAATCCAACAGAACCTGCCTGGTGATGTAACATGTTATAACAAAATGTTAAAATAGTTTCCTAAATTTTCAAGAAGGTTCCACACTTTGAGTTCATCACTTGGGAACATAAATGTTAAATTGTAAACAAAAAATATAGCCTATTAAAATTATTTCAAGGGATTCAGTATTTGTTTGTTGCTAAACATTTACAGTTACCAATCAACAAAAACATGAATTTGAAATTAAGCATTAGTAATGCACAGTTTTTAGATCTATCTTCGTGTACAGTCAACAAATACTTGATTTTCTTTATGAAAGTTAAGGTATTGCATATATTACAATTAATGATGGACCTGTTCACTGTGCACTTAGTTAGTCAAATAAATTCACCTAACTTTAGAAAAATTTTCTAGTCATCAGGATGATGATTAAAAATATAATTAGTTGTTTCTTTATGTTAGAGAACAAGATAAAAAAAAAATGCCCATCTCTAATAGCTGTAAAAGAAAAATGGATCTGGGAATGGAATTCTTATCTTGAAAATCTTTGCTATCTGGGTGTAACATCAGTCAGTGAAATTTACTTTACTATTTGAACTTCATGCACATACAGATTGAGATAAGCAGTTTTTGTAATTTACACAGGAGGTCTAATATAAGTGCATTTCCAAAATCTGCAAAAATACTATATACATGTGTATTACATAGAGGGCTTATGTTTCTTAGTGTTTATTAATTTAATATTTTGGTGTTTATTTTTAGCTATTTTTCAGTTTTAGGTAAGTAGCCTGAAATCATTTGGGGGGAGGAGGATTTGCTTTTTAAGCACTATTCATCTCTGCACAAGGTCTATGTTAGTTTGCAAGGAAGAACAGTACTTCATATCTGATTATCTCATTTTAAATATCTCAAATACCTAAAACCTTCATTGACATCAGACTCTTATAGACATGGGGAAACTTGCTATCCTTCAGTAGTTGGAACACATTTATTAAAGTGTCCAGAATAAACTAATAGTATATACAAGTTAAGGAGGGATATTCATAACTAACTGCACTAGGAAAGGGGTGAAGTTAATGTTAGTGGATAACTATTTCCATTGTCTTCCCAGAGTTTATTGGATATAAACCAATTTAATTTTTTATTGTGGATGTTTCAGTGGAGTTTATTGGTTAAAACCAAAAATCAGAAGCCCTTATGACAATAAGTTGACAACCAGGACCAATAAGAGTATTGCATTATTTAATTCATTATTGTATTATATTGCTGATTTAATCGCCTATAAACAATTAATGTAATTAATAGTTTTTAAGATACCTATATATATATATAGGTATATGCATATATATTATAAATATTTAATTAAATTTGACATTCAGAATGAGTGGTAAGCACAAAAGCAGTATTATAAACAGATCTTTACACACACTAAATTGTTTGAATGCTTCATTAGTTATGTTAACGTAGTTCAACAGTCTTTTATGAAAGGTACCAATTTGAAAGTTCAATTAATAGAAATGTAAAAATATATCCTACATAAAAAGTTTTGACAAGACAGAAGAGTGAAAAGCAAAGTTGGGTGATTAACTCAATCAATTACCTCTAAGAATTGATTAGTGTCATGTAAAATTATTCATTAATCAATGTCACAGTTAATTTGACTAATCTCATGAAAATAATCAGTTAATCAAAGTTTTTTTTTGTTCTTTTTTATTGTTACAGCTATTTAAGTTATCATAATTTTAACATTCTGATTTCTCATTATTTTCAATTAATTCAAGTTTTTTCAGCTTAAATGATTGATGTCACAACTCAGGAAAATAATCATCTAATCAAAATTAGGGTTTATAATTATCAACGTTTTTGATTATTACAATTATCCAGATAATTGGAATATTGCCATTATGATTTTTCAATTAATTCAAGCTTGTTCATCTTTGGACTGGCATGATCCAGTGATTAGGATTGTTGACTCATGAATTGAGGGTTACAGGTCTGATTCCCATTGCCACCAAGCTTGCTCACTCTTTTAGTCATGGGGCATTGTATTTATGTCTTCGTTTTTGAATGATGAAAAAGCTACTAATGCCATCTGCAACCATCCCTAATTTTGAACTGTCGAATAGAGAGAGAATAATCAATTAATTGAATGTAATAGATTTATGAGCCCAACAAAGAATTCATTAACAAATTTCACTAATCATCAAGCTCTAGTGAAAAGTAGAAAATAAAGGTTCCAAAATGATACAAATCTAGGAAAGGTGTCATTCATACGTTCCTTATTTAATTGGCATTAGATCTATAATTACACATTTTCAACTATCTACTTTGCTGTTAAAAGAACAAAAAAACCAGTAACAACTCTAATTTAATATGTAATGTATTAATATGTAAATTTTGTAATTTGATTATTAAGGCTGGGCTTGTACTAGCCTCTTATATTGCTTTGGAAATGTCTCACTATCCTTACTGATATTAGACTTTTAAGTTAAGATTTATAAATGCATATGTCCTGTTTATTATCACTCTCCATTGACACTTCACAAGCAAAAACTCCTAGTATCAATTGTGGGTTTTAACACTACTAGAAAATGCTAGACCAAAGAAAATGAAGAGCATTATTAGTTTATGAAAGAAGCCAAATATACGAGTTTTGTAATAACCATATGCTCCAAATGTTTATGAAGTGGTGATGAATAAATATTAGCTGAATATCTATCAAGTTACAAGTATATGCTTGTAATTACGAAAAACCATAGAGACCATTAAACAACACCAAATTTGGTGAGATATTTTTTGTATTTTGAAATAAATATTTAGATATTTAACTGTGGATGAATATTGACCCATGGCAATAAGATTGGTCCATATAAAAATGGCATTATGTTCATAAATGTTTTTTTGCAGAATGATTTAGTTAATAGGATATTAATTTTAAAAGCTCTTAAGTTTAACTTTTGTGTGTGAAGTGCATTTTCTGGTAGTTTCTACTAGAGTGGTTTCATCCAAATGTGTTTAGATGAGTTGAGCTGTTCTTTTTTTTTCTGAAGTGAAAAACTGAAACAAGATGGGATTTGTACTATGAATCTGTTTGTCAAGCAGATGCTTTGACCAACTAAATTACATTACCCTTGTATTTTACAAGTAAAAATTTTTACTTCGTTAGTTAATAAGGACAGAATGTAGCAGAACACTTGAACTATGTTAATGGAGTGAAAACTGAAACTTGTGACAGAATTCATTGGTTCACAAATTCTGCCTAGTTCAATTATTTGGTTCTTTTCAAAACAACTTGTTACCCTTAAAATAGCTATGCTTAATATATTAGTTTATTTTGAGATAATGTTTTATGCTTTAAGTACTTTCTAGGATCTTAATTTGCTACTTTACACTGTTATATCTAATTGATCTTATTAAGTAAACATCCCTTTAGCACATTAGGAAATATATTTATATTGTACATTTTTCTGTACTGAAAATCTTTGAAGTTATGCAAAGCAAAATTTTACAGTATACATAACTAAGTGACTACTAGACTTTTGAAGGTCATAGTAACCAGTTGATAATTGAATTTTTTTACTTATTTTATGATGATCTTATTTAAGTCATTTATGCTAAAAAAAATCCTTAGTAAATAGAGACTATTAAATTGAATATCAACATTATTAATTATGCAAACTTGCTTTTGTGTGTGCTTAGGGTAGTGAATTTTGTTGTACAAATGTGTTATTCTTTATATAAAATTTGATAAAACTTTTGAAGTACCCTGAAGGCTATCTGGAGGTTATGGCAGAAAAAGAGAAAAGTGAACAAAATGGAAAGAAAGGCAAAGGGAAGAGGTCTCAAGATGGTAGGTTGTAACAATTTTAAGATAGCTTTTCATATAGTTAAACTGGATACATAAAGAGATTAATCTTCTCACTGTTTTGGTATTGTTCATTTCTTACTGATGTGTTGATGCTCTGTAAAACACCAAAGTGAAACATGACATTCACAGGATATCTGATTATTCTAGGAGAACCAGATTTAAATCCTAAAAAGAAGAAGAAATCAGCAGTGTTTCAGATTCCTGATGATATAAATAAACTGATAAAGGAAGATAAGTTAAATCAGAAACTATGGAATGAATGTAAAGCTGTTGTGAATGAGGGTCAACAGGTATGTTAACAGGACTAATTTTTCTGTTTAACTGTTGAAATTGAAATTTAAAGGTAAAAATTGTATATCATGTTGTTACTAGATGTGCATTTTTTTTTTATTAGCCATACTCTATGTAGGACAAAAATGTAATATATGCATATTTAACAGCTGTCTATCGTATAGTTGGTAGACTATATGTAGGGAAAGTCAAGGTACTCAACAGGCATAATACAAATATACATGCTAAAAAATCAACAATGACAGAGAGAGAGATTTACTTTAAAGGATGATTGCCACACACTTTCATTTGTTTTTCTACCCAACAAGCCTAAAAACAAGGCAAGGATCCATTGCTAAAATACCAAACTATAAAGTGACCAAAACACCAAATTGTTCATCTTTCTTCTTCTTGTTTTAGTTGAGATAACTCTACAACTACTTTATCACTAACGTTAGTTTAAACCTAAATACACTCTGTGTTTCTGCGCAGTGTACAATTTCTTTGTTTCATCGTAATATGTAGTAGTAATTAAAACATCATAATAATTCTCATTACCCCTTGAAGTTAGCTTTCTTACAGAAATCTGGTGTTCCTTTAACTCTTTCAGCACAGGCTCAGTCCCTGGGACCGACCTCATAACCATTTTGTGCTTGGTATAGTTTTCAGGTTATAACTTTTAAATTTGTAACTGAATGTTAATGAAATCTGGCACATTATCAGAAACATTACAATGCTTTCATATGCAAAATATAATTTTTTTTATTAAGTCATGGTTTGTAAAGCAATGTATCTCTCATGCCTTTTTTTTTCTTTTCTTTTCACATCTTGCCTATCTAACATGCAAAGTAATCTTCATTTTAAGATTAAAAATACTTTTATGCATCAGAAAATTGTGAAAATTCACATGTGAAATCTTTATAATGTCCAGACAGTTATCAGATGGTTCTTAAGAAAAAACTATATTTTATCTGTTATTTTCAGTAATTAATCTCTGTACGGGTTCAGTAGATTTGACAGATATTGTAACCACCATAAAAATTAGGAAATAAATATAAATTTTGCCTCTTTCACTCTAGAATGAACACAAATTATAACACGAAAACATAAATGTTTAGACTAAATAGCTTAAATCTCATATAACATTTTACATTTAAGTATTTTTATTATATTGACCTTTCAGCTGTGCCTGGCCAAAGTTACAATGATGCAGCACATGTGCACTCATGTTACCATATCCAAAAACATAAAACTGACCTTTGGTTTGTACAAAGTAACTTGTCTTGGCTGTGTTTTAGTAGATGAGTATTTTGTAAAATACAATCACATTTCAATTATTATATGCTATATAAGTGTATACACTTACTTCTATATATGACATGAATAATCAATCAAAAGCTCAGAATGTCCTCCTAGTGGCTTTCTCAGCCATTTTAACGAGCTTGGATGCCATTTCTTTTGTTGGAACCAAGATTTCAAGGAGGTAGGGTGTATCTTTAGTCTGCTCAAAATTGCATATTTTTTTACACTAAAATACATCTTAGTTACTAAGCTTGCTAGATTATAGTGGAATTCTATGGTATTGATGTAGTGATTTATGATTTTTTAGTTATTAAAATGTATATACAAAACCTAAAATTATTATTTTGTTTCATATCCTCCACATGCAAAATTTTTGAAGGCATAGCAACTTCCAGGTCATAACTAGAAGAGATAGTTGTTTGCTTTACTTCTTTAATTATTGTTCTATGTTTTAAGAAAAATAAGTTTAAGAAAGGGAGCATTTCCAAAAATGGAAAGAGGTGGGTGGGGTGCCACTGTGTTTGATTTATTACATGAGCAATATCTTAGCAAACAGAAAAGATAAGACCTTATTTTATATTGTAGCTGTCAATATCTGTAATTTGAGTTTCTGATTCGTATAAAACTCTAGACTTAGTATTTCAACTTCACAAACATCTAATTTGAACCATTGCTGCATTCAACATACCACTTGACACACAAAAATCTATGTTTATCTGAGTTTGTAATATTTATTTCAAATTAAGAAATTGAGTAATGTATAGTACTAAAATTTGAATTATATTATACAGTTTGATACCAAACTTTTTGATATACATTCGTGAAATAGTAGTTCAATAAAATATTTAATGCAAGTCAACAAAGGAAATGACATGGCCTTTCACCTGTGACCTGTCCTGAAAGGGTTAAAAAACTTAAGTAAAGGGTGAAACAGGAACTACCAGCTAATGATAGATGAACATGAGATGACTGTAACATGTAGAATACTCATTGCTTTGTACACTATACAATCTGTGTCTTTAGGGAGCTAACTGCTATATTATGTATGAAGTTAAAGAGTAAAAAAAAAATAATAATAAATACACATATTAAATTTTATTACACACATTCATGGAATACACTAGTTTTCAGTCAGGGGAAAAAATATTAAAAAACAAGTAATAAAATACATTTTGTAAATATAAAATGATGTAGGGATGACAGTGCCTAAAAGAATGCAAACAATAATATAGGGATGATACAGCTATACATAGATCATCCCTACATGACTATCAGTATTAAAATTTAATGTTACTTTTTGAATATTCAGTAACAAATTGTAATGATAATTTTCAATATAATAACATTCAGGTAAGTGCTTTTTCCTTGATTTATCAAATCGTGAGCAAAAAGAAGGATATGATATTCATCTCCTACAATACATATTTCATTCTTAAAACAGTAATTAGTCTTTCGGAGAAATCTGTATTAGATGACATCTTTCAGTAATGGGTTTATATATATATATATATATATATATATACATACACAAACATACTTTTGGGTTTTCAAAACTGATTTAAAATGTATGTATTTATCAATGGTTTGATGATTATGGAACTCTGAATGCGATTTTTGTGCACAAATAAAAAGATTTAAAACACATACACAATTTTGACATATTGTACAATAATATACGATTTATTAAAAGTTGGGCAAAAGTGCCATCAACTTGGTTATCACTGCTATCAATGAGCATTTTATTTTTAAGGTTGGATTGAGAGTTTAATTGGTTGCACCCCATATTTAATAAATCAGATTTTAATGTGCAATATTTTAATGTTCAGTGTGCATTTCTAATCTACATCCACAATTTTTTTGTCTATAATTATATCTTAAAGACCCTAATGACTTGTATAACTGCTTTTTCTCTTGCCAGTTTTATGGGTCTAGTCAATTTCCACTTTTTCTACAGACTTTATTTTGAAATTCAGTTTGTTACCCAGTGTTTTATTTAACCTTTTTAAAAACTGACTTCCTTTTCTTCCACAGAAAATTTTTTTTTTTTTTACTTCAGTCTTCTGATTTGATTGTTCTATTCTCAAGTTATTAATGCTGTTACTATTACTAATGTAAAGATTAATGTTCTTCTAGAAATACTACTAATGCTATTGTGTGCTTTCCCATTCTTACTTCTCTCTCTTTTTTTTTTATTTGTCCACAAAATCTAATCGTAATTCTCTAACACTTGAGGGGCATAGTGGTCTATTGGAGCATAGATATGTGTGAAAGCTAAGTATTGATATTAGATTTGTCTATAAAGCATGTCATGTGAATAGCAGAAGTTATTCTTATTAATTTAGTAAATTGTTAAAGGATTTACTTACATTGAATTTTTCTATTCATTAAATAAAGTACAGGATTTTATTCAAAGTAAAATGAATATCAGACCAAATCCATCTGTTAATAGTGTTTTCACAAATATCTTTATAAAGGACTATTTTTTATTTTACATTTTTGTTGTCAAAAACTTATCACAGTGCATAATACTAAACACTTGAGAAGCATGAGTACAATACATATTTTAATACTGTTTGTAGTAATTATATAGTAGTAGTAGTTGTATATTTAACAATAAATCTGAGTCAACAGGACCAATTGTGTAATTTTGGTAACAAAGTAGGGTCCACACAAGATCCAGAAATCTATAAAAGTTGGAATAAAATATAGGGAGGGATCTGTAATGCTTGATCTGAGGAATAATATGCTGTTTTTTTTTTGTTTTTTTTCTATGACTATACTAATTTTCTATCTATAAAATTAACCACTCTCCACCTGTAGCTATCCATGTCCTCGATGATGATTATTCTGGTAACATACCTTACACTTACTTACGAGTAAGCTTTGAATCTAATGCTTCTGACATCTGTTCTTCAAGACATGTGCAATCTTGATACAAAATCTGTTGGTTGTCCTTACAGCTCCTTATAATAACTGTATTCACGAGAATTTATAAATATTGTAGCAAAGTTTAGTATATGAAAAATATCTACCAAAAAAAAAGAAAATCATTGTATCTCCTTTAGTTCTTTTCAATTTGGGGTTGACTAATAAAGTTGAATTCCTCTTATAACAGTATTTATTCCATAAAGTTTCCAAGAGGGTTAAAGAAATATCAAAAGTGTGCTCCTTGAGGTGGAATACCATATGTTGTCTGGTTGACTCAGATTTGTTGTATATAAAGATTTTCATCTTCCACTAATACATCACTTCAAACAACTTTTATGAACATTTTGTAGTATAATATAGTAAGTGATGTCAATAGACTGCAGTTTGTTTCCAAAGTAACATGAGTGTGTTTATTTTCTCATTGATTACCAGGTCTTCTTTAAAAAAGTTGAAGAGCTGTTTTTGTGTATTTGCTGCCAAGAGGTTGTCTTCCAGCCTGTTACCACGGACTGTTTCCATAACATATGCAAGGTACTGTACCTGTTAATATATATTTACTTTTGAAACCTTTGTTAACAAATCATTATAAGCTAAGGTAATTCTGTAAAATAATGTTTATTTTAATAAGAAGCTTTGTGAAAGTAGTTGAAATGTATTTACTTTATTGAAATACTACCATTGGAGTAATCATTTACTATATATTATTTAAGTCAAGCTAAAAGCAGTACTTTTTAGTATTGGAAGCATAAAATGTAGTCTTTAGCTAGAAAGAAAGAAAGACTGAAGCGTAAGTACAAATAATTTTATGACTGTTCTGACACTGTACAGAAAGAATCTGCATGTAGTGTTTTTTATCTGGTAGGAATTTTTTGTTTTCACCTGAAATCTGCTTTAGGCCATGTAACAGTGTACAAACCTACATTAATTCTGGCTTTATGTCAGTTGAAAGTGATTTTTCATGCTACAGGTTAGCTTAAAAGAGGTTCTTTTTATTAAGCACATACTTTAACTCTGATGGACTATTCTTATTTGTCACATGCTTTATGTCAAATAAGAGAGTTACTTTTCTTTCAAGGCTTATGCTTTAGGTCAGATAAAAGGGTGTTCTTATAAAGCCTTTTTAATAGGGTCAGGCCATAAAGATTATCTATTATTGCAAGAACTTCTGGAAATAATGGGACCTCAACTTTAGATCAAATGTTTCTGGTTTTTATTTTGGGGGAGGAACTTTGATTTAAGTAAGCGAGTATTCAATTTTTTTTAAGTTACTGCTTGAGATCAAGTAACTTTCTTACAGACATTTAAAAAGTAACTTCTTATACAGCTTAGCGTTAAGTCATCCAAAAGTATGTCAGGTATAAATGTTTTTCTTGTTGGGTTCCTGTATGAACATGCCTTTTCAGCTTAAGTGGGGCTTTTGCATTGTGTGGAAAAAATAACCTAATGATTGATTTTAAGTGCTAGATCATATTGTTGCGTCAGCGAGGTCGCGTGACTAGTATCACGCCACGTCCTTCTCGAACCTTCGTGAATTGTCGGGAGATTACTAGATATAGTGTAGTCTTGTATATATATGACCGGCCACGAAGCGACGCGGAGGCAATGAGTAATTGAATGTATGCGGACAAAATATTGTTGGCCACGTGAGACGCGAGTTACAGCGTCGTTATAGAGCGATTGTTGAAATTAAGTGTATCGTAAAGTTGTATTCGGAAAGAATAAACCAGTTTTATTTAAGAAAGGACTTGTGTCGCTAAAGTTTCGTCGGAACGAATTTACGGAAAATTAACTAACGACTGGAGGCGTAACAGTACAGTTGTTAAGTAGGAACAATAAAGAACCGTGAGTTTACTTTACATTTTTCATATGGGATGCTAATGGAATATATTATTTGCAGTGTTACGAAAGTTCTCATCTTTTCAATACTAAAATACATATAAAAGTTTTACCAAGCTAGAAAATATGAGTAAATCATAATATAAATCTTGTCTTGGGAAATAATTAAATTGTTATTTATTTGTTTACGAATAAACAAATGAATGTGTTTAAAAACCTCCATTTTTTTTTAAGTACTACGTTTCGCTAGCTCTGGATAGAATCGTACAACAGTTTAAGTTGCTATGTGTTACATTATCAGAATGATATTACATCATTAAACAATGATATAAATCAACAGTAGCTAAGTAAGGAAAACAGAAATTAGAATAAATGTAAACACACACCTGTATATTTATTAATGTTACTTCTTTACTTTTGTCTATGATTTATATGGTTTTCTTTGTCAATGATAACAACATCTGGAAAATCAAAAGAATGATTGTTCCGATACATAAGAAGGAGCTTTCAAATTGTCTTTAAATCTTGTTGAAAGCTGTCAGTTAATTTCTTCAAGATAGAAGCTAGTCAATTTTTTGTTGATGTTTTTCTTTCTGGCAGGAAAGGAAATTTTACATTCAAATTCATATTACACTCTTTAATATTTTGACCACATTTTCCGAAAAACCTGTGAAGGTTTGGGAACATACAGCAATACACAATAAAGGATATGTTTTCGACCTGTAATTCAATTTTCAAGGGTTATAAAGTTTTATTTGCCACTTTGGAATAAGCTGAGATTTTAACACATTTTTCTCAGTGAAAAATAAACGTATTGAGAAGAGCAAATAGTTTTACTTGTATTAAAGACAGTTTTTATTATCTCTATTTTTTTGTTTCGGATAGAGGAAGGACTTCCAAGGAAGGTAAACTACTGAGTGGGTATCCTTATATTTTCAGCTGTGAACTTATTGTTGGGTGGATTACATTCAAATTTGAAAGCAATGTTGCGTCAGCGAGGTCACGTGACTAGTATCACGCCACTCCTTCTCGAACCTTCATGAATTATCGGGAGACTACTACATT